TACTTTTATTTAGTTTAATTAATATACTAAGTAGTTGTAGTATTGTACATTATTATTGTTGTTAGTTTTTAGGTTTTTGGTAACTAAGTTGTACTTATTTTTTTTTTTTTTTTTTTTTGCCTCTGGACAATGTCATGTCACATTCTCATTGTTATGGACTTCTGAAAACAAAGATTTACAGCATTTTCGTGTGAGTTATTCTATTCTAATAGCATTATTTTAATATAACTTAAAGTACAGACTTGATGATGATACCTGGTACACAAAAACACACTACTTTTTACACAAACTTTGCATTTATTAGTAAGGCTGAAACTTCATCTAAGTATTGTACACCACTTTCCATTAGCACACTTCACAAGAATATTTATGTATATAAAAAAGTTGTTTTTACAGGGCAATCCATATCTTGTGGCTTGGAGGAAAGGCAGTCTCGGTCATCAGTATAACATGCATTCTTCCATCAACCACCTCTTCAGTTATGTTGGAGATGTTATAAACTATGCTAACACTACGGGCCTTTTATGTAGATACTGTACACTTATAGCCCCTTGCTGGAGTTGGGCAAAAAATATCCAATAACACACAGATTCACACTTAGAGCAAATGCTACAAGAATGTGTTACTGATCATTGACTGAAAAAGAGACATGAAAATACACACAAAACTGAAAATAATGTAGCAATGTAGTATCCAAATGCATTCTAAAAAGCTTGTATTAACGACCATGAAAAATAAATGCAAATGCACTCAGATTGTGAATTTATGCATTCTAAATAAAAAGGGAAATTTGGGATGATTAGTTAGTATTTTACTTTTATGCAAATAAGAAAATAAAGTACCTTAAAAGAAGAACTGGGATGCAATTAATTTGTTTGTAAGGATTTTGAAAACCCCTCACGTATATTGCTTATCTTTTATTATGTATTTAAATGGGCACCAACCTGTTTTAAAAATACATAAACTGAGACAGTCACTTTGTGTAACACAATTTGTAGAGCTTGATAATGTTTGATATTATGCTTGGTCTTTATCCTAAGAACATTTTTATACAACAGAAAGCATTTTTAGGCCTGTTGATTTTATCTTTTTCACGAAGCAGTTATGATAAGTTTTAAAGGATGCTACTGCTTTTCACATTTGAAATGTTTATGTATTTGTACATTTTCATAACTAATTTTCCATAAAGAGATAAGCATTTAATTATATATTGCAAAACTTTAAATACTAATTTTTTCAGTAGTCAAAAGTAAAAATGTTACTGTTTCTCTCTCTCTATATATATATATATAATGATAATGATAGCACCACATTCACAGAAACTAATCATGATATTTATTTACACACTGTTATTTTCACCTTTTAAAGGAAATAAAAATGTTTAATTATTTTTTCTCAATTTTAATCATATCTGTGGAAACATTAAATAGAAGTTACAAGCTATAAAGCTACATGTTTTTAAACAATGTGTAACTGTCATATAAGTATAAAATATTTGCCAAATACAAATACTGTAAATGAGGAATTATTACTTTTATAGGAAATAAACAAAATATTTTTTTTTGTTCCTTATTTAAAATCGCATTGGAATTTTAGCTACAAGATATTATACCTATAGAAGAAAAAATACAGTAGTTAAAAGTAATCAGTGTGAAATTCCAGTTAATAGACAACCTGAAGAGTCATAAACTAAAATATTTTTAATAATGTATCATCAGAAAATAGAACTTTTACACTTGAATTTTAGCTTGTTATTGCTTTTGGTGAAGTTTATCTGTCATAAATAAAATATTAACAACAGCAAATATGTTTAATTAGATATAACTCTGTTAATTACTACTATCAGTGGGTTAGTTGGTACTGCACATCTAGAAGCTACATTTGGTAATGAGTTTTGAAACGTTATCTATAGTACTGCATTATACAGAAAATATTACTTGCCTAATGATAAACAAATTTCAATGGAAAAAAAGGATCTTAAGATAAAAATGTGAGGAGATAAAATATGCTAAAACCAATAAAAAGTACAGAGTAACAGCATATAAATCAAATACTGTTAAACATGTCTCTCATTCTGATACTCAAGACAGTGGTATGTGAATATTTTTTTTTTTACAAAGTATAGAAGCAATAATACTTAAATGTCAGGTTTATCAAAATGCACATTTTTCTTTAAGAGAAATACCATCAAAGTACTTTTTATAGAGTAAAAAATAAGGAAAATTTTATTAAGTAATTTTATATTAAATATTCCTCAGAAGAACAGCACAACCAGCTAAAGCTACGTTAAATCAGAATATTAGCAAGTTAAGAACTTTATACGAATAAGTGATAAGTTATCGAAAACAAATAATACAATTCATAAACGAAAGTATATTAAGACATGCAGAAAACAAATATTATACGTTTGTGTTATCTTTAATAAAAGTACAAATTAAAGCTAAAAATTAAATACTTTATTGTATAATGATTTAAATGAACCAAAAACCTGGGTTACTTGCAAAGTTTAAAACAAAATTATTTAGATATACATAACCTATTTTCTATTATAGAGAAGTTTCAGATAAAGATAATAATCCAAAGAGTTGATAAGCTCACACAAAATAAAATAAGTTATATTTGGAAAATTAATATTGCAGGATGAAACCTCTGTAGAGATAATTCTTTTTCAAGTTTAATTTTGGTAGTTTGTTCAACACAAAGATGTTATTATTCTTATGTTTTTGCCAAGTTTCTCGGCAACATTAAAAGTTCCATGTTGAGTCTGACAAAAGGCAGATAATTACTGATATATATATGTTTACTCTCAGGATCATTTACCATGTCAAGAACAACATTTGCTTAAATAACTAAATTTTAAAAAATATATCAGTAACCATCTTGATTATGCAAACACAGATTTGGAGGACTTGGCAAGAAGTCTACAAACATGTAATCAAATAACTAAAAAGGAAGGTTTCATAAAGTAAAAAAAAAAAAATATACTGTAATGACATTATAATAAACCTGCTTTGCAATTTCATAATTAAGTGTTAAAATTTTTTTGTTTTGTATATTTTTCAAAATTTTTAGTTCTGTAAATTTATATCCTTTGCATAATAGTTTACCTTACTCCTAAATCTGAATGATAGGAAAACTTACTTTTAACAACATAAGCATAAGAACATTCTGCATCTAAGAATTTAGACCAGACATCACTGGTCCCTGAGGTGGTCACATTAAGAATGTTCACTGTAACAATTCCAGTAGAAACTCAAATATTATATTGTAATTTATTTCATACAAATGTTCCAAAAATTGTAACTTTTTTTCTAAACAGTAATTAATTAATTAATTAATTTTTAAAAAAAATTACAATTCCTAAGTCACTGTAATAATTGATGTAATAAACAAATAAATAAAAAAAGTTATTAAAACCATGGAATCGGATCATCACAGCTACTAATACAATATACTTACTGTGTATTAAAAAACGATGAACAGCAGTTTTGAGTCTAATTTAGAGAAACAAAGTTACACAGAAGAAAATACATTATCTACCAAATGTTTAAGCAAGTAAAGTTTTTGTTTGCTGTACATTAATTATTTTATAAGACCCTTTTATTAGGGTTTACATTTTGGCATTAACATTTAAGTGCTCAAGATTATTAATTAAATTCTTATTGACCAACAAGGATGTAACTTTTACCTGAAACTGAAAGCAGGATTTTTTTAATACACATTTTTGTAATTTATATACCAGAAAAAGCTTATTCCTAACAAAACTAATTTATTCTATAAAATTGGGTAGTATACATCTACTATTTAACATTAATGTATCTACACACATTTTCACCGCTCCTTCCACCCATATCAACTTTGGTGAAAAAATAAAACAAACCAATACATCACTTGAAGGCACAACAAAACACTTTTTAAGATGTACAAAATACAGTAAGTTGGCTACATTTGAAAGTTGCTACAATTCACAATAAAAAAGTAAATCTGTCAGTCTTTGCTCTTATTACTTACTAAAAAGTGCAAACAAAGAAGAGATCTAAAAATTGTGTATACTACTATATATGTATTAATATGTACAGAGCTTGCATATAAACAGCATCTCAATTATAATCAACTCTTGAGCAATTAAAAAATAAAACAAAAACATATTAAGACAAAATTGACTAAGCTTGGCCCTAACTTTATTTCTTGTCCACAGAATGTCTGACTGTGTTTTTGCCTAGTTAAAAACAACAACAAAGGAAGCAATTACAAAATTTCTACAGGGCTAGTGTCTTGAATTCATTAGAAATTCCAGTACTTTGATCCTGGCTTCTGGCTGTTTCAGTTGTTACCAGTTAGCCATTCCTGGTTTGTTGAGAGTCATGAAGTAGATCTGGCACGAAGAGCCACTTTTGGCAGAGGAAAAGAAGACCTAGAACAAGTAAATAGAGTTTAAAAGCTACATGCTACTTTAGTAAAGATAATTTCTGTTTCCAAAAAAATATATAAATTATGGAGTTAATGTAAACAGAACTGGAAAAAACTCAAGATAAAATCATTGACATTGAAAATATAACAATATATTAACTGTGAAAATTCATGAGAAACAACAAGTACACTACAAATTTTTCATGTTTTGTATTGAATTACTGTTTAAAGCTAATGTTTATAGTCAACTATAAGGGTTCCAAAAATCCCATTTATCATCCATTAGGAGGCCCCAGTACAAAAACTTCAAAAATCCAAAATAGATCTATATATTAAATGATCCTTTTTAAGTTCATACCAACTTTCATGTAAACAAGTGAAGCCAATTCTGAGAGCCCCCCCCCCTAAAAAACATCCCCTCTTATCCATCAGATCCTAGTAGGGAACACAGATGATTATTTTGAATGATCCATTACATGTTTACATCAATTTTCTTGTAAATCCATGGATCCAGGCTAAAAAACTGAATACTTCCCCCCCCCCACCCTTTTTAAATTATATATAGCATCCTAACAATACTACAATGAGGAAAAATGTGTTCACGCACGCCAAAAAAAAACAAAAAAACAGCAGATGAAAAACGGTATGTCCAATAAAAACTTTCACGTCATTATTTTTTTCCCCCTTTTTTATTGAGCACATTTCAATATTATATTCCTTGATTGTTGTAGCTATAAGAGTTACTAGTTATGTTACACAGAGCTGTTCACAATCTATGGTAACAATCTGTATATCCTTGCTCCTGGCTACACAGGTTAAAGACAGTGATCATTACAGGACTTTCCAATGCAAAATGTTTCTATTATGTGTACCATATTAAAAGCAGAGAAAGGCATGATTTCAACAAGAAAAATACAAGCTAACATTTGCATACTAAATGTGCTGAAGAAAGTTAAATAGTTTGTAACAGTGGTACATTGTACTTAAAGTAAAAACCTCACTAGGAACTGTAAATAAAATGATACACATGAATTTAAATCTACAATAGTGACACAAGAGTTGGATTCACAAGCTTTCACCAAATCACATAACCACATAGAAGAATAACTGTTGAAAATCACAACTAGGATATGACAAATGAAACAGCATTGCACGTTGGATGAAGTATACGTCTACTTAAGTAATCACAAAAGTCTGGGCAATATATTATCATCCTGTCAATGATAAAACATTTATAAAATAGCACAGAGCATAATGTGAAAGTTTTTTCAAAGAGATTTATATGGTAATTGCAGGTTACAGCTATAATGGTAAGTTAAGCATCCAAAGTTTTAAGAAAAATGCTAAAGTGATTTCTGGATACTATCAGGCAAACATAGTGACACCACTATACTGAGAGAAAACATCATTTTTGTATATTTATAGATACATGTTAATAAGATATGGCTCTATGAAGATAAAGCACTCAGTCATGGGTCCGAGTCAACATGCTAGTTCCGTTGCAACATTCAAATATAAAAGATAATTTATGCTATAGCATATTCAGACATCTCTCACTTATTTCTGTGCCTTGTCATTGGGTTGTTGAAACCGGTCCTTGGAAGTTGTCATCTGTGCACAGTTGGGGTTTCAAAAGCATGTAAAATGGGTAGGTATGGAGGTGGAACACCAACTATCTCAATGCAAATTAAATCGCAATACATAGTCAATAATCAACACCATCCCACAGAACACCAGGAGGCTGTAAGGACTAGAAATTCATCCCTGTACTGCTACCACAGATTGTGAACATCACTCTATATAAATGAATTCAATACCTATTTCAAAGTACTGCACTAGTTTTGGTAAGCAAGATAATGTTAACATTATTACAATGTTTTTAATACATTGGAATTGTACAGATAAAAGAGCACTGACTCACCTTATCATTTCTTTCACACAAAAACTTAAGTCGTTGAGACTTCTTGTGCATGAAAACTCCATCCAAGTGGCCAGTTTCTACATTCCGAATCTCTATTGCCTTATTACCCCAACCCATGACTTGGCCTGTACCGATATATGCTAAAAAATAATAAATACTGGGCTGAAACTATCTCTTAAAACAGTGGCTCAGTTATAAATACAATAATGATAAAACAATCAAGCCTGGCATACTGCAGTAAAATCAATTTCAATGTAATAAAATAAAGTAGATTTACTAAGAGAGTAATGACTGAAAATATCATTAACAGCAAATGTACCCCACCTGATGATTCAATGTATGATAATCAGTATAAAATTTTTAGCTTTCTGGTGTTCCTAGCCAACGTGTTATATAAACCAAGATCATTAATTTAAAAATTGATTCTGGTATTTGATCTGTATAGTTTACTTACTTTTGACTAGGCACCAAAAAAATGTTTTGACAATGTGTTTCTCTTGTAATTTCCAAGTGATTTGTTCTGTTGATTGACATTTCAATCTTTAGGCCAAGGTTGTTTGCCGATTACTCATGTGTTTTTCTTACATATAGTTTATACTACATGATAATTCAGGGTGTGCATATAAAGAGATTTCAGACATGTTTAAGCTAATTACATAAACCCACAAGAAACGGTTTTATTAACAACTTACCAACTGATGTAGGCATTTCACCCCATTGAAGCACAATGTTTTTGCTAACTCTTCCATATGTGTTTACATAAACACCTTCGTCTGAAAGAATACACAGCTTATGTAAACTAATGCCATATTAATGTTCATGAATTTACAAATTTGGGAGAAAACATTTTCTTTCAATCATCAGGCTCACAGTAAAGAATAATTAAACAAAATCAAAACCAATGTTGTAGTATTGTATAATTAATCAATTCAAGTATTTCTAACAATGGAGAAAAAAGAACCAATTGCTTTAGTAAAAATACACGTAAAGAACAAAGCTTACAAAATATTCTAAGACAAATAGCCATTAACCCTTTCATGATGGGCACCCCTTTAAACACTTTTCTCCACAAGTCATCGAGTTAAATTCAAAATTTAATTAAATCCCTTTACTATCAATGTATGTGAATGAAATTAACATTACAATGTATTTTATGATTCAAAGTTTTACAGGATCTAAATTTTAAGTTCTTTATTTCAAAAGAAATTTTTTAAAAAGCTACTTAAAACTTCAGATGTATTGTTACGTAACCTACAAGCTATGAAGATTCTCTATCTTCAATAATATACTGCCAATTGGGTAGATGTACGTTTAGACAGTAAGATAATTACTTAACCTATTGACACATACATTTCAAAGTTCTCTGGATGAATGTAGTTGAAACAAGTAATAAATTTTGTCAAGCCCTGACTGGTGGCATGACTACCTTCAATAGATTTTTTTAGCTTTAAAGCCTACATGTAGAGATTTCATATGCATGTATATAGTCATTAAAAAGAGCTCATTATTTTACACTATAATCCAACAGTGGTTATTTTTAAATTGGTGCACAGTTTCATCACGGGATGCATGTAACTGCCTGTAGTATCGTTGGCTGCTTGATCGACTATAGCACTTACGGTTGTTTCTTACCTCAATATGTTATAATTACAGATAGATGTCAATTGTATTTAGGTCTTATTTGTATATTTTAGTTTTATATGTATTATTTATGTTTTAAAATGCATAATTGCAAAGTCTAAAATTTTTGAAATATACATCATACTTTGCATCAGTTCTCAAGGCAAATGATATTATGAGGTGCATGAAACTTAGCCAAAGGGTTGTACATCTCTGCTAGAGATACTGTAATGTGCCTGAGAGTACTGTTGACTTGTATCGAGATGAATAATAAAAGGTAAAGGACAAGAAAGAAAAATAAACATTAAAAATTAACTATATGTGAAAAGTAAATGACCTGAAATTACACATATAACCAAACGAAGATCTTTAAAGACATTCTACAAAAAAATTAAGATGTATGTACTTTTTTTCTATGTCGTAATTTTAATCACTTCATTATATTGTACATTGATGATAATAGCTAGAGTTAGTGATATGGTAGAGAAAATGAAAAATAAAATATAAAAATTTACTTTAAAAACTTTTGTTATTCATTTAGGAGGTTCTATAGATTATGCAAATAAAATGTTAAAATTATAAGGCGAAGAAAAGTATTTTTATACTTAAAATGAAAATAATATTGGACTCAAACTATTCAGAGTTTGAATGCAAATAACTACTATAGATAAATAACATTTTTATTAGAAAGACATAATTAAAATAATGTCATTCTTTGTGC